GTTGCATGCAGTCTCGCCATTTGCTGTGCTTTATGAGCTGTTCCAGCTGTTTCGACGGATACGGTGGAACCGATTGATCTCGACAGAAGTTCAGTTAAATCGCAAGCCGGCTTGAGCGTCCAGTTCGAGAGAAGGTTTCCGATTTCATGCACACACCCCCAAACCAAAAAACAAAAAACACAAGCCCTAAACCCCCAAAAGCCCTAAACCCCAAAAGCCCTAAACCCCAAAAGCCCTAAACCCCAAAAGCCCTAAACCCCAAAAGCCCCAAACCCCAAAAGCCCCAAACCCCAAAAGCCGCCCTGGGATCTGTGGCCCGGGCGCTGGGGGCCTTGGAGGACCCGGAGGCCCAGGAGGAGCTGACCTGCGAGCCGAAGAGAGGAGGCTTTAGCCTCTTGCTTCAAGGTGTCAGCAAAGTCTATAGAGGGTTTGTTTTGGGGTTTAGAGTATTTTAGGGTCTAGGTTTAAGATGAGAGAAGGTTTTTGCTTTTTGATGCTTCGAGTTCATCTCTGGGCCGCAGGCGATGGAGGAGCCACGGGGGCGCCAAAGGTGTCCAGGAACTCACCTGGAAGTGCTCGGAACCATCCCTCATCGCTTCTCAAAGCTTGGCACATCCCAAAGGAGCAGGCCATAGTCCACGTCGCCTAAGCCTGGCACAGCGGTGTAGCATTGCGATGATCTCTTGGTGAATCCATCAAAACAGCCATGGGATTCGTGCACATGAAGACTTTATCCACACCGGACAAGGCCGGGAGCGCAGTTCTTGTCAGCGAGCAAGGCCAGCAAGTCGAGACTGAGAACAATTCAGCAGGGCAACGGGATTGAACACGCTGCTGCATTCAACACGCTGCTCGAGGGTGCTGCTGTGGAGGAGTAAGCACGGGAACAAGCTCCTCTCACCGAAAAAGATCAAGGATCGCCCCGCCACACCAAAAAAAAAACAAGAAAGAACAAAAAGCCGTCTCCTGGAGCGTGTCTTGGAAGATGCTGGGGGCCAAAGTGCCGCTGCGCTCGATGTCCTTCGCCCGCAGCAGATCGTGGAGGCGCTTCCCCGGCGGCGCCAGGACCTGAACGACACTTCCACGGACACTCCCTAAGCTCCCTGGTTCTTGGGAATGGGCGAATGGGTTATTGGGACTACTATAGGGGACCTTAAGGGACTACCATAGGGATCCATTCCCCCATTCCCTGCTAAGAACCAGGGGGTAAAGGCCCTACCCCTCAAACAATGACATGACAAGCGGTTCGGCCGGTCCCACCTGCCGGGCCCAAGTTTCGTACCTCAGGGTTTCTTAGTTGCCACAACCAGCATTCAAACTGAATGGGCCCCCCGCCCCCCCACCCCGCTCTTCTCTGCCAGGGAACTGCTTCACTTCATCTGCCACCTCCTGCAGGTAAGCGCTGAAGGCGTCCTGTCAGCCGAATCCACTCCCAGCATGACTACTCCACGCAAAGCAAACTAGCGAAACTAATAGATGTGACTTGGCCCTACCACTTGCTGCTGAATCATGTGGCACGTGCTGATGCCCCGAAGTCGGTCCAGGGATATCTTGGCACCAGGTGATGGAGACAAAGCTGACGTCAATTGCTTGATCTCATCGTCACTCAGGCCTCGCGAAGAGAAAGCCACGGCCACGGTGCACCGACGGTGCACCGAAGGATTGGATTCCGGGAACCGACTCGGGGCAGCAACAGCCGAGCCCCCGCACCGAGGGGCATCGTCATCAGAGCGTGGCCCATGGCGTCCGGCGTGAGCGCTCCGTCGCCACTGGCAAGCCAGGCAAACTGAATCCAGCAAGGAAGAAACAAGCAACAGAAGAGCCAGGTCCGCTCATCATCGAAGGATGCACAGGACGAGATCCAGTTCAGCTTCTGACCTCAGGGAGCTAAGACTTCACTGCCATCCACGAAGTTTGTTTACAGTTTGCCGGGATTTGGGACCCACCAGCCGCCGCCGGATGCGCGCGATGATGACGAGGATCTTGGACCTCACATCACTTCCCATTACAAAACTATGACATAAGAGAATAGAACAGGTCCGGGTCCAAGCTCCCGAGAAGGCCCCGGCTCTGGCGCAAGAGGGGCAGGGCCGGGTGCCTGGCTTGCATCTGCGGTGGAGTCGGAGTACCCCTGCTACAATACACCCTAAACCCTAAACCCTAAATCCTAAATCCTAGACCCTAAACCTTAAACCTACTGCTCCACCGCATGGCCCCTTCCCGGACCCCGGCGCACCGGCGGGGTCTCCTTGGGAGGTGGCGGAGGAGGCGGAGGCGGCTTCGCCGCGCCTCCGGGCCTGGCTTACATATGCTTTGCATCTTTGGGACAGACACATGCTTGGGGTTTAGGGTTGAGGGTTGAGGGTTTAGGGTCTAGGGTTCTTGTCAGGCATGAGGCGTTCAGAGCGCCTCAGAGTGGTCTTCTTGCCAGCCGGCTCCAAGGAGGGCGGACTGGGGGCGGCCACAGGGGCCGATTGCTTCGCCAGGTAAGCCTGCCGTGCGCCGAGGACAGCGGTTCTGTCAAAATGGCCGTCGAAAAAAAGCCCTCCTTGACGTAGGGGTTGGCGAAAAGCTCGTTGATGGAAGGCCGGGACCTGGATACAGCGGACAAAAGGGCAAGCTTTACCAGGGCCCTGCAGATCAAGAGGTCGACTCGGCATTCTTCATCAGCAGCTTGTTGATCAGATCATTCAGCTCTGGCCTGCAGAGGTGTGGACACAAGCAACGGGATGCCCAGGCATGCAGCACGGATGCTAAGATCGACACGAGTAGAAGGACGGAATTGGGTCCTGGGCTTCGCAGCATCATGACATCGGCAAAGTGAGAAAGGCTGGACGAAAGCTCGACGGGCGCGGTCGTGCGCAGCGACGACCGACTAGCACATAGGATTCTGTTGCTATTACGCTGGTAACCAGTGTAGTGATCGAACAGTGATCTTTCCTTGATTCAAGTGGATCAAACAGTTTGGTCTGGGCCAGAAATGGTGTTCTGCAGCCCGCAGGATAGTGATCTGCAGCGGTCCAGAAAATGATGTACCTGCCAAATAGTGATCTGCATCGGGCGAAATAGTGATTCAGTGATGGGTAGCCAGAATGATAGTCACATGCAGCAGGCAAAAGAGTGATCTGTAGCCACATGCTAGTGAATGTTGGAGTGATCGGGATAGTAAATTAAGGGGTTCGACCTAGGTCATCTTGGATTGATCGTGACTGTAAATAGTCATTTTGGCGTGATGGGGACCGCAAATACCATTTTGGAGCGGAACCGATGATGTTGTTGAAGTGATCGGGACCGAACATGACCGAACATAATGATTACATTAATTCTACCGCACCTGCCTGGTGTTTCAGATTTAACAATCAAGCGGTGGGCCGTCCGCCCCTTATCAACCTGAAAAGCTCGATTTTTCATTGAGCATAAGGTTCCACGTCTTCGAAGCCAGCAAACCGAAAATCCAAGCCAAGTCCTCACAGAACTTGCTTTGGCTACTGATGCACAAGACAACATCTCAAGACGGAAGCTTGATCAACAAATACAAGGAACATAATGGTCACTGACAATCTTGTAGACAAGGCCCAACCTTGGATGTATGCGCTTCAAGTCTGGGAGACTCCCATGGTTGGATGCCATTCCACAATCCAGAATCCAGGCATGCAGCAAGGAGGAAGACTCAAAGGCATGCTTCAGCATGCAGCACCTGCAGTGTGCTGGAAGGCACCTGCACTCTCAGGAAACTACGGCGGCTAAGATGGCCGCTCGTAGAGCACACATCCCAAAGCCTTCAGCAGGCTTATTGCAACAGGTCTGAGTCCCGTCATGGCGGCCACTCCAACCGAGGTGACAACCCAGATGTCGGATTTCCAGTTATACGGCTCGCTTCGACAAACTTCGGGAGACATGTAGTATGGCCTAGGTCCGTTATGGACAGGAAGCGATGCATCTCTTCTGATGAATGCATTTCTCGGAGCACGACGTTCCGACAATAGTGACAGCGGCCTGCTGACAACAGACGCACTGCCCCGCCGGGGAATAGGTGGATATTTTTGAACTTGCCTCGGTGGTGCCTTCCAGCACACGTGAGATGCCAAAGTCGCCGAGCTTGATGGCCGAGCCATCTGACCGAAACACTGTCACTGCTTTTTGGCTCAGAAGCTCCCAACCCTACAGGGCTTAACACAGGTTTGGGCGACCTTCGGTCAAGAAGATGTTGGAAGTTTTCAAGTCTCGATGCAATACCTTCTCTGAATGGATGTACCTGACAGGCACACTTACGGCGCACGGCAACACGCATGCCATACACCAACCGTTGCGGTCGAGAGTACTGTAGCGCCAAGCAGAGCTGGACGAACCACGTCATGATTTGCCTTTCAGGACAACGAGCTTCGCACGCGCGGCTGGCTGCGTCATGAACTGAGACGCGAACTCCTCCGAAAAGTGGGCACCTTCCTTTGCTTTGTCCTGCCGTCGCTGATCTGCACTGCGCTCGTCCAGCAGGCACCGAAAAACTGCCTTGATAGCTTTGCGAACATCGCCGCCGCCGCAATACCTGCAACACGTGACAATTTGTTGTATCAGAATGACAGCAGCCTCCTGAGACTGTGACTCCATCACAATCACCAAAGTGTTCGCCTGCTGCAGGCCGATGCGGAAGGGAATGTTCTTTTCTGAGAGCAGCGGACAGCGAGGCGCTGGCCCCTTCAATGAGAAAGCTATCCCGATATGCGACGATATAGGGATGGCTCAAGGTCTGCAGCAGAAAGACCTGCTCGTGCACTTCTGGCTTGCAAAACGTGGAAACAAGCTGAAACTGGTAGAAATTCTGAACACGCCTCTTGATGGGCCAAATCCTGAAAGAGGCGGTGCCACGATGAAATGCCAGGGAATATCCCACAAGTCCTGGTCATGCTCGTTCAATGCCGCCAAGGAGATGCATTTGGCCACGAAGGTCTGTCCACTGGCCTGGCAACCCCTAAACCTGAAACCCTTCGAAACCCAAACCGGTAGAAGCGAAGCTCGATGAGTCAGGGCACCGTTTCTTTGACCAGCTGCGCACTGGCATACTGCCCCCGGCCTCGCCGCGCGAGGCAGCAAAACAGGTCTAAACTTGATATATCATATACACTCGAAATGCATTGAACACATGGAAACTGCAAACCAAAGGCCTATGTGCTGCAGTCTCTCGAGCCCAAACCTGGGCATCCATGCAGCCGCTGCGTTGATCCGTCCGATTGCAACTCGCATCCCATTCGCGCTGTCAATCTGGGCTTCTGGCCCAGAGAGGTCTATCTCGGTGGTGGGTTTAGACATGGCAACAGCAATCCTGCAGAGATTCAACTGCTGACGCTGATACGTGCATCACATGCACAAAGGCAGAGCACGCATTGCTAAGCATTCACCGGCCTGTCATGGATCAGGGCAACGACGCCGGCATGTTCGCAACATAGCTAAACTTCTAAAGCATGAATAATTTGTCGCATGTGGATTGATCGAGTAACTGCGCAACGGCACATTGCAGAAACAGATGCTCTGCACCATGCCAGGTCCAACATGCTGAATCCCAGTATCCAACATCGACGCAAACAATCGCTGCGGCAACCCAGCATCCATGATGCACAATCGGCTGTACAAATTCTCTGTGCAACACCATGAACTTATAGTGGGTTGTTGTGGATGGACATCCCGATCACGATCTAGCGGGCACCTAGTTGGCTTGCAATCCAGCTGAACCGCATCTTGGATTGTGATGATGCTTGTGAACATGATGACGTTAATGATGATGATGATGATGACTTCTTCTTCTTCTTCCATCGCCGTAGAATGATCCACGATTCGCTGGAGCAACAGAACAGTGTCCGCCGCGCCCGTTCGGCACGCACTGTGGCCCCGTGAACTCTCCTACTTGGATGCCTGAGATAAGGATTTCAGTAGCAAAGGGGATATCCTCTGGAAACATGAAGGACTGTGGGCTTGAACATCATAAAGGTTAGGGATTTGATCAGGGACATCCACCAAACGATTGAAATTAAAAGCCGTTCTCGATCAGTCATATGCCATATGCCTTCACTAGGCACATGGCAGCCTCGCCCCGAAGGGCCCGTAAGCAGGTCTGCACATGCTGTGTGACGACTGTAGTTAAAAGCACAAGAAGATAAACAACAAGTTTGGAGTAGCAAAAGCAACAATTTGACCGTAGAGTAGCAAAGTAACGATAGAATGTCAAAAGTTCGACTGAATCGAGAACATCGAGAACGAGAACTTGTAGCCACTACACAAAAAGTCAGTGTTCTCTTAGGCTCGCACTGCTCTACCACTTAATATCTTGAGCATAAACGGCTGCCAGTTAGGGACAGGTGTTAGGGTTGTCTTTAGGAGACGCAGCTTACGACAGAAACACGAAAACGCAGCAAGGCACTTGGACAGTGTTCACTCTTTTTCAGTCCTGCGGTGACAGGGGGTTTCTTCGGAAGGCACGGCTTGTTGCCGACGCCAAGCGGCCAGCGACCTCACCGCACAGTTGCCACGTGGCTGCAACAACAGTTGCACCGCTTGGAAAGCTTTTCGGCACTCAAGAAGTGTAGCTTGTTTAGCAACCTTAATTAAGTCTAAGGCAAAACCAATTACCCCCGCGTCGCGGTTAGGCTGACCGGATCGGAAGGGGATGCACAAGGATTTAGTCACAGGTGCAGCACTCAGCAGGCACGCTTCACTCGCGGCACGTTTCGAGCGAGAGTTGTGGTGTGGGTGGGCGGGAGAAAAATTTCTTGCAGCATGGAGAGTTTAACTGGACACAGTTAAGTCACACGTGAAATGCTGGACACAGCTAGATGCACGTGTCATGCATGCTCGCTCCGCTGTGCTTGAGAAGGCGAGCGCGGCATAAAAGATTCCGTTTCAAGTTGTTGCACAAGAAGCTCAACTTCATGAGAGTGAACTGGCAGCCATTCTTCCCTTTTAAGAATTCTCACAATTTTAAAAGGCAAAACTTAAGCTCAAGATATTAAGGGACTATCAGCGCATGCACTGACGGTTTCCTTAATATCTTGAGCATAAACGGCTGCCAGTTAGGGACAGGTGTTAGGGTTGTCTTTAGGAGACGCAGCTTACGACAGAAACACGAAAACGCAGCAAGGCACTTGGACAGTGTTCACTCTTTTTCAGTCCTGCGGTGACAGGGGGTTTCTTCGGAAGGCACGGCTTGTTGCCGACGCCAAGCGGCCAGCGACCGCAGGCTGCAAAAACAGTTGCACCGCTTGGAAAGCTTTTCGGCACTCAAGAAGTGTAGCTTGTTTAGCAACCTTAAGTCTAAGGCAAAACCAATTACCCCCAATTAACCGCTTTAGTTTTTCAAAATGCTTAGCACTTCATCTAAGAAATTTTCGCATGAGAACCTGGCAACATCTTGCCCACGAACATTCATGCTTTGCATAACGGTCCTTGATGGCTCGTCCGCGACATTAGCCGGGGAAGGTATCCGAGCAAACCATGTATATGCTTGAGACACAGCTTCAACAGTGAGAAGCAAAGCTGCAAGCGCTCTGCCAACGCTGTTTCGAGAGACACCCCTTGTGGAAACGTCTCTTGCTGAGTTATTGTCTATGTAAAAGACGACAGGGCGGCCATTGAGCCAGCTCCGCCAAAGGGCAGAAGCGATTATTACTGTCGTCAATTCGGCCTCGAAAATTATTGTCTTTGTTCTACCTTCGCCCAAAAAGGGCTTTCTGAGCATGGTCAACTCGGCTGAGAAAAAACCCAGAGGCAGTCCATTGCTGTCCAGGCAAACGCCTCCCACTCCACAGTAACTCTTAACCCCGTCTGGGGAGTAGGATGCATCTGTGAAGACATAAAAGGGGCTTAGAGAGCAAGTCTTAACAACACGCGGCAACTTTGCTTCAAGAAGGTCAACGAACTTAAGCATGGCAGATGTTGCTGCCTCGTCCAAGTCTGCATTCTTCTTTTGATCATCAGACCTCAAAGCGGAGATACACAAGCGGCCCTGCCAAACAGTTGTCCACCGGCAAACAGCATGCGGCGACAAAGTCCTTCTGCGTCACTAAACTCTTTTGAAAAGGGTTTATCTTTAGTTCTGAAACCTTCCACCCCAACAGGCGGAACAAGGTCATCACGGCCAGGTCCACCGATCTGGATTGTACCACATCGAGTGCGCCACCCTGCTGAGGTATGAGAATACTGCCCGAGTGGCTCCGAAGGGTAAAGCCAACATTTCGAATCAGCACTTTCCCTTTGCGCGCGCTGAAGCAAGCGCCTTGTCCAAGCTGTCCGGCGAAATTCGTAGGTTTTTGCCTTTGCAAAAGCTTGCACCAAGCGCCCAGAGCGTTTGATGCGTGGGCAGCACTCAACTGGAACACGTGCACTTGCCTGCGGCGCTGTGGTGCAGTGAGACACTGATCTTTGCTAAAGGTCAGAAGGCTCTTGACCGCTCCCGCTACTCTTTCACACTTCTGTACCCTTGCACGAGCGGAGCGGCTCGAAGCTCAATGGGTCGCGTGCGTTCGCCTCCCGCTGCGGTGCACAGAAGACGCTGATCAGCGCCAAGGCCGCTGTGTGGTGCAAACACTCCCTCATCATTGACTGCCGTTTCGGTAGCAGGCTTGATCCAAACGTGGTGCTGCCTGTCATTGGAGTCGTTGCTCAGCAGTGACCTGGCTCGCACTGCTGATCTGAGCAAACCCTCCAAGGCTATTGCCAGCGGAGAAAACCACATGCTCAATAAAAGCTTGGCGGAGCCTGCGATCGAATGGCCTGTGCGGCTGCAATACTTCCAGCACGTTGAATATTGTCGAGCAGCACAATGCCGAAGGGCTTTCTGTCAGAGACTCCCTCCGATACGCTTTCTGATATCAAGCACTATGGTCTAGGGTTTCAAAGGTTATTTAGAGCATTTAGGAAATTTAGGGTTCAGAGGCCTCGGGATTCAGGGATCCAGCAGGTTTTGCGGTTGGGTCCAGGGTTTTGGGGAACCCCGAAACTTCTGATGCCTGAACACCAGGGCCCTCATGCCGAAATCTAAACCTTCCACCTGGACCTACACAGTGATGATGCAAAAGCCTCTAAGCAAGCTTCTGAGTCCATCCGGGTACGAACAAAGGGTGGCAAGCACAAAGTGCGCAAACGGCAGCTCAAACAAATCTCAATTGGTTCTACAGTCTGCACACAGTATACTAATTTTGCAACCGAATTCAGTACCCA